GAGGTGACTTCGAAGTATTATTGCAAGAAGATTCGACTCAATCGAGTATAGAATTTGCGAAAAGGTCACATGTTAATCAGAGCACTGTAATTCGTCGCTTGCATGAGATAGTGAAAATTCTGAAGGGAAGAAAATGGGTTCTCCATGAATTATTCGAGAACGTTATTGCCAGCCGCGTCACCATTTGCCTTTCGCTGCTCAATAGACACAAACACAAGACTGTTTTGTATCGAATTATGAGCGGAAACGCATTTGAATGCATTTGTTATGACAATTCCAACTGCAAAAGATTGCTGGTAAATCCCGAAGAACCCTCTACGTCACAGCTGAAACAAAATATCCATGATCATGAGACGCTCCTGTGTATCTGGTGAGACATGCAAGGAGTGCTGTATTATGAACTGTTAAAACCATCTCAGAGTATCACCGCGGAAGTATACAGTTGACAATTGAGTTGGCAATTGAATGAGCAATTGATCGAGAAACGTCCATATTTTGCGACAAAGCAAAACAAAGTGATTCTTCCACACGACAATGCCAGGCTCCATGTCGCATTGACGAGCCGGGAAACTTTAATGGAATTGCAATGGAAAGTCCTACCGCACCCGGCATATTCTCCAGATATTGCCTCATCGGATTGTCACTTATTTCGTTCTATGCAGCACAGTCTTTCTGATACACGATTTCGCAATATTGAAGAAGTGCAACAATTCATCGATAACTTCATTCATTCTAAGGGCAAAGACCTCTTTTACCGTGGTGTCCATCTTTCGCCTGAGAGATGGCAGAAAGTAGTAGATAATGCCGGAGAATATTTTGATTAAAGACACTATGGCATTTATAATAATATTAATAAAGAACATTGCCTTAAAAACGATGGAAACTTTTGCATATCCCTGATATGAGAGTCATTCAAATATAATCCGGATTTTTTACTTGCGGTCTCAGAAAGAACCGCAAGCGAGCCAAGGCGCTCCAGGCAGTTAGGTAGAGATGGGTGGAGGGGAGCGACCCTCCGCAACATTTCTCAGTTACTGTTCCCTCGACAATAGCACCATGACTGAACAAGAGGTACCTACGACTGTTGCGCAACGCATTATCATCCGATTTCTCGCTAATGAAGGCGTCAAACCAACTGAAATTTTATTTTAACTAGACTCCAAGCACAGTTTGGAGATGGTACCCTGTCAAGAACCCAATTGTTTGATTGGGCCAAAAAATTTCGCAGTGGTCGTAATGCTGTGGCAAACGAAAGTCGTCCGCGATCGAGTGTCACTGATGAGAACATTCGGGCCGTTCGCGAACTTGTGGAAGATAACCGACGCTTAACTGTTGTCGAAATCTCATCGGAGGTGGGCATAAGTATTAGGAGTGCTCACACAATTCTCTCAGAATACTTTTGGATACCATAAGGTGTCAGCGAGGTGGGTCCCACGTCTCCTCACTGCGACACAGAGAAATATCCGGAAAGACATTTGTCAGCGTCTTTTGAATCGTTTCGAGCAAAAAAGAGAAGCATTTTTAAAACGAATTGTCACCTATGACGAAACATGGGTTCATCACTATACTCCAGAGAACAAGAGGTTGAGCAGTACGTGCGCGATTGGCTGTTGGAGCGCCCTTCTTCTCTTTTTGATGAAGGAATTAAGAAGCTACCTATCCGGTAGAGAAAATACATTTCCATTGAAGGGAACTATGTAGAAAAATAATATATCGCTTTTGTGATTTTATTTGTTGCCAATAAATCTGTAAAAAAAAATCCGGTTTATATTTGAATGGCCCTCGTAAAGAACGTTGAAACCGACGGGAAGGACGATACTCAAAATGCAGTTCTTCGCATCGCGCGGTATAATTAAGATTCGCGAGCGCGAAAGGATATGGAAACGGTATCATGGAAATGGCCGATAGGATCTGCGTCTTGCTAAAGCGTGTCTTAGGGTGAAGTAATGTATCGCGCGAAATCGAACTGGGGCAGAACACGAACAGCCGTAACGTTCCAAAGCGTTCCGTGGCAGCTCGGTTAGTGAAAGGCGGAACGTTCCGGAATGAACAGAACTTGAGCACTTGGCAATGATTCGACGATGTAGTGAGGGATGCGATTTACAAGCTCAATCAACTACCAAAAGACTGTCGGTGGAGGGGGGGGGAGGGAGGGTGGGGCTAGTCGTAGCCGGCTACGATTGAGTTTGAAACTCGATTCGATCGACAACAAAAACGCGGTTAGTCACAATTGAGACGTGAGCCGTGTAAAAATATCGATCGAGCGGCTCGAGCGCCGGCGTAATCCCGGCGTTAACGAAATATTCACGCCGCGGACGAGCCGCGAACACATCCGCAGGTAGTTAATGCGAGACGGGGATATTCGTCGCGATTCGCGCTCTCACCGCGCTCGAGGATTTCAGTCGGGCGAGATAAATATGAAAGACACGTGTCACGAAAGAGACGCACTCGACGTTTATTCGCTGTACAAAATTTCGCGCCAACGGCGGAAGGCTTTGACTCTCGCCAAAGGCAAACTCCTTGAATAACACAGTCGTACTTTTCATATTGATTACTCTGAAAGTAATAAAAGCCTTAAGTCGCGCGCACAGCAGTTCAATCCCCGAATGATTTATTAATATGCTATTAAATTCTCGAGAGGAGCGCGCGCTCTCTTTAAGGCTGGCACGTAAGATTTTAATTTATTCGCTTCGAAACTGTGGAAAGTAATTTCTGAGTTCGGGAACTAACACGGGACCGTTTGCGTTTTATCGCTCGAGGATTGAGATTAGCGTAGATTTGATCCGGTTGCAGAGAAAAACAAAGGAGAGATGTGTTGGAAAGACTCACAGCATGGAGAAATTGAATTGCTGCGATTGAGTATGTTTCAGCGGATGTTTGCGCGCATGCGTAACTGACGAAAAAATTATACAAGAACAAAAATTACATTCGAGTTTCAATGTTTGCCCCCAAATTCAATTGTATAATCGTCGTATATCTCAACTGACTTTCATCATCATCAAGCCGATCAAATATCAAATCCATTAAATTGAAAAAAATAAAATCTCAGGAGCGTCTCGCTTCTCTGAAAATTCTGAAAGACAAATTTTCTATAAGTAAATTTTTATATACATCCCCCTAAAATTTATATATTTTGCATATCTTCTACAATGAAAAATCTCTCATATATAATCACAAAATCGTTATAAAATCACATGATAAAAGGAAAACATTTTTACACACATACTTTCATAATCATGCGATATGTCGAAATACGCAATAATAAGCGATGGAAGGACGGTTGTGTTAAAAGAAGGTATACTCCCTATACATGCCTTGTAACATGCTTTGTCTTTTAAATGTGCGAAAATTTGATACGATACGCAGATAAGATCGTTATCGAACTCAAATATTAATACTCATATCGTTGAGACGAGACGCGCCGTTCTCCCGTTCTATCGATACACGCGAATTACAGTTCTCTCGCGTCGTTTGACCAAATATACAGGGTGTAACATCAACATATAGGTCAGTATGACGGGTTGCCTGCCTCTATTCAGACGATCATGCAGAGGTTGCCGAAAAAATCGCTCGTCGACTTTATTGATAATGATATTTGCAATACTCCCAGTTATGACGAGTGTAATTAATAAAATATAGTGCATGAGACTTCTAAATATTTCTACACCGTTCTTTCTAATCTCCAATTCCTATCGAACGCGAGAAAGAAATTAAAAAATTACGTGGAACAAGAAAATATATTGTATTATTTATCTCTTTTAACGATTACTCTTATTTACTCTGCTTAAATCTGTAATGTTTATTTCTCAGTTTCACTTTCTCAAACATCCTTTTTAATTCAATAAGGCTCGACTTTTTCGGCAACCTCTACATTGTCGTCTAAATATATATAGGCAGGCAACCCGTCATACTAATTTGTATGTTGATGTTACACCCTGTACAATTTACCGGATAACGAATGTGTATTTCGCGACGTGGACGTATGATCGCAGGACACACCCTGCAATCATCATTTGATAAATAGCACACTCGATTGGCGGACGTAAGAGGTAAAAGAGCGAGCGCGTAAAATGACACGGCGCGGCGGACAGGCAGTAATCCCTCGTAATCGATACACCGTGTCGCGTTATACGCTCGAGCGACGACTCACGATTTCCGTTCGAGAAAAAATACCCCCGCGAGTTGAACATTCGGGGAGCGAGGAATTCCGAGACGATCGTGCGGACGGAGTTCTCTCCCAACGAAGCTTATCGCGGTAATGAAGGCACGGCTATCAAGGCACGCCGCTGTAACGAGGAGTTTGACTGACGCGAGATGGACAGCTAAATACCTTCGCTCAAGTTGAAAAATTAGCGCGGCCCCATAAACTGAGCAATATGCGAATGTGTATGCCGCGCCGGTGAGAAGCCGGAATTCGCTGCCTCAGCGTAATTTCCGTAAGCCGCGTGTATCTCGCATCTCCTGCGAACTTAATAAATTTGATATCGCAACTCCGTCGTCCCGCCCCCCTCCGCTCGTGTCGTCGCTCTCATTACACTCGTCCGTTAATATTCGCGCACGCGCACGCGCGAGCAAACCGTTTCCCGTTTCTCCGTCGATACATCGATACCGCGGTCGCGCGATGAATGAAGAAGATCCGGAAGAGCTCCACGGCCCAAGTCGTCGTCCGAGCGCCTCGATGATCCAACAGAGACGACGCGCGGTCGACGAGCCCCTTCAAAGGCTATGTACACTCGCGGGCTCATCGGGGAGCGCGTTCTTGAAGTTTCATGTAAATCTCGCGAGACAGCCGGCGCATATAATAAGAGCAAATTGCATCGGGCTCATAAACACTCGCCGGTGAGCGTCGCCAAGAAAGGTTACTTGACACTCAAGCAGCCAGCTTGCTTCGCTACCATCCCAGTCAGCCACCCCGCCGGGCAACCCCATTCAGCCAACCAGGCAGTAGGGAGAGTCAGGAACGAGCCAGACGAACGAGCAGGCGCCAGTCTACCGTGGGCGCACGTCGCGGCACCACGTGTGCTCCGGATTCGATCTCCTCGTCGTCGGCGAACGCGCACAATACAATCGTCGCGCGATACATCGTCGGCCCGACGCTTTTCACTGGGATTTTCGATCGCGCCAGCGGTTTCGTGTTTTTTGCCACCTTCCTCTCCCACCAGCCTCTCTGTCCGTCGTTCAGTGATTACTCAGCGGTGTGATCGGAGAAGCGCGGTGATAAACGGACGACTCGACTCTGCCTTTCTCGACGGTAACGGTTTACGGTAACCGTAGTGTGCGTGATGCGGTGAACATGGTGCTACGAGGGATCTAAGGGATCTATGGATGATCAGCGACCTAACGTAGGTACCACCCGTCGGCCATCCCGGGGGCGATCGACGGCGATGGCGACGAGGATGACGGTCCGGTGATTTCGATCGATCTCCATCCCCGCCCGACTCGACTCGCACGGCGCGGCGCTTCCGAAGACGGCGCGCGCGGCACAGTTTTCGCGAATTCCGCGTCTCGCTCCGCCGCGCCGGAGCGCGCGCGCTGTGTTACGTTAGCCGACGAAGCCCCGTGGTGATCGATGTTTCACGTTACCAGGCTGCAGCGCGCGACCGGACTAGGCGCGAGAGCCGAGCGTGTCGCGTGCGGCAGATATTATTTTTCACGATTCCGCGCGCGGATAAGTTGCGCCAGTTTTTTTTCTACCTGTGTACCCAGCCGCCTGTCTGGCCGGCCGACCGACCGATCGGCGCATGAAAAATGGAGAGAGTCATTAGACAACGCGAGTATCGTCGCGCGAGCGCGAGTTGGCAAGGTTAAACTCGATATCCCGCGATGATGGCGTTATGATGGCCGCTCGTCGATCGTATCTCCCGGGGTGTCGCGAACTCTCGAAAGCCGTAGAGCCTCTTTGGCACGAACCAAAGCCGCAGCTCGAGCTCGAGCTCGCTGCAACAAGGCGTAGCTGCGCTTTATCGTGCGTCACCCGTCACGTCGTCGCGTCGCCATGGATCGCCATGCCGAGTTATGACGCGCCGGGGAGAAAATGCGAAAGCGTCCCCGCGTCGTCCTCTTAAGCGGATCGTCGCGCTCTTTTCTGCGCGTGTGTACGAAAGCGAGAAATATAATATCCCTCGGCTAAACAAATTGCTCTTAGCGCCGGCGAAAATTGACACGCTCGCGGAAGCGGTTGCGCAGGGGAGGGGGGGGGAGAGCAATAAAAAATACATAATTCCATTTCTGCCTACGTCCAAGGTGGGTCGACGTTTCCATCCGTGGTGAAGATGAAGAGAATCTTCAAAGACGCGGTCTCGTCCGGTTCTCGAGATTAAATCTGACACTCGCGAGAGGATTAGCCCGTGATTGAATTAAATTAAAAATGCAGGCAAGAATATGTCGCGTAATTCCGCGGTTGCGGCGAATAGCATCGCGTCGGGTTGAGCGAGAAGACCGACGGAGAAGACGAAAGCTACGCGACGTTAAGTAATGAACGGACGACGAAAGTGACGAAAGACTCGCGCGGAATTATTCTATCGAAACGCAGCCACGGTGGAAATTCCAAATCCAAAACGCGCGATGTGTCGATGCTTTCGCATCGGCAGCAGGAGCTCTTGCATGAACACTGTTCTTCGCACAAGCAGGACTTTGTTGATGAAAAGCAGCGAGGTCTCGCGCGTTTACAATACAAGCGGAGAGGGAAAGCCGGGTGAATTTAGAATGCCGGGGATCATTATAACCGGCCGCGATAACTTCACGCCACAGATATCGGTTGTACCTGCTCGCGACGGCGCGTTCCATTTACGGAAATTGCATCGCATATTATATTACCGTAATTCATTCAAACGAGTCCCCTCCCTCTCCCCAAGGGCTGAGAAGCCCCGCTGAAAACATTTAGAGAAATTTTAGGAAAGCGATTTCTCGCACGGCGAGTACCTCCGGCGCGCGACATTGGAAGCAAATCAGTTTGTATCAGCTCGAATTAGAATGCATCAAACCCTCTCGATGTCCCCCCCCCCTCTTTGAATGAGAGGCTAGATTCGCCGCGTCTGGGACGCATTTTTCCGACAAATCTTTCGTGCGTGATACGCGACGAGCATTGCACAAGATTCAAATTAGTTGGAATTCCCGCGAGGCTACTTTTGTCGTTTCTGCTAACACCGGTCGAGGCAATTCCGGCCGCGGTATTCAAATACACCGCGCATTATACGACTTTCGATTCGGACATTCTGTATGCGTGGAGCACCGCTCGGCACACAATGCACCGCCTGTACTATTAATGGCGGTATTTGTCGCCGACGAGCGCGGCCGCCGAAGCGATATTATCGAGGAATATCTGCGAGCGCTACCGTTTAGTCAGTTACTCGTCAAACGAGAGCGTCCGGGAAATCGTCGCCGAGAGAACGATCCAACGGCCGATTCGTCTTCATTTTCGCAGCAGCCGGTGGCGGTTTCTCGGGCGAGAGGAAATTGCGTAACAAAGCGGGGCTCCGGCGCTCCGCCGCGCCGTGCCGCGCCGTCGGAATCGCGATTTTGCCGATGAAGGGACACGCGCGTCCGCCGAACGGAAGTCAAATTCCTTTGAATTCTATCAATTACGCCACCGCTGGCGAGCTCCGCTCGGAATACCCGACGACGACGACGACGACGACGACGACGGTGGCGGCGGCGGCGCCGTTGTTGTCGTGAAGACGAGGTCGAACGGAAACGCTGGCAGTCCCATGGTACACATTGAGCTGATCAAGCTTCATTAGCGCGGACTTGATTTAGTTTACCCGCGACTCGTCGTGACTCGCGGTAAATAATACCGAAGGCCGGTCGTGCGAGGGGGTGGGGGGTGGGGGGTGGGGGGAGGATTTTATCTAAAGAAGAGAGAAACGGTCGCACACGCGCCGCTTCTCCGTGTTTGATACGAAGGAAAAAAGGCGCGCGCAACGGCGAATCGGATCGCTCCTTCGTTGTATTGTAACAGCAACATACAGGTCAGTATGACGGGTTGCTTGTCTCTGTTCGGATGATAATACAGAGGTTGCCGAGAAAGTCACTCGTTGACTTTATTGATATTGATATTTGCAGTGTTCCCAGTCATGACAAATGCAACTAACTTTGCACTATGATCGTTGTGACAGTTTATCGACCGGAGTCGATAGCGACAGGAGTCAAGTCTCATTGAGTGAGAAAAGATGTTTAAAAAATGAAACTGAGAAATAAATATTACGGGATAAAGCAGATTAAACAGGAGTAATATTTAAAGAGATAAATAATACAACATATTTCCTAGTTTTGCATAATTAGTTTTGCATAATCTTAATTGTTTTCTCACGTTGGAAAGTTCGATAGAAATTGAAGATTAAAAAGAACGATACAAAAATATTTAAAGGTCTTACATACTGTATTTCATCCATGTTTCTACGAAAGATCGCTCAAAAATATGAATGGACTAGAAACGCAGTATAAATATTGGTTGCAATTTAATCGACCGCAACTATCAAGCGACATATTTTTGGTACATTATAGTCTTGTATCTTGGCATCGAAAATAGGGCCTTTTATAATATATAGGGCCATTATAGTCTTGTATCTTTTTTCGAAAATAGGGCCTGTTTTTCGAAATTTCTTACAGCTTGATAGTTGCGGTCGATTAAATTGCAACCAATATGTACATTGTGTTTGCAGTCTATTCATACTTTTGCAGAAGCGATTTTTTATAGAAACATGGATGAAACACAGTACATAAGACTTTTAAATATTTCTGTATCGTCCTTCCTAATCTCCAATTTCTATTGAACTTTCCAACGTGAGAAAACAATTAAGAAATTATACGAAACCAGGAAATATGTTGTATTATTTATCTCTTTAAATATTACTCTTATTTATTTTGCTTTATTCCGTAACATTTGTTCCTCAGTTTTATTTTTTAAATACTTTTTCTAATTCAATGAAGCTCGACTCCTGTCGGTAAACGGTCGATAAACTGTCATAACGAACACGGTGCAAAGTTAGTTGCATTTCTCATAACTGGGAATACAGCAAATATCATTATCAACAAAATCAACGAGTGACTTTTTTCGAAAATCTCTGCATTATCATCCAAATAGGGGCAAGCAACCCGTCATACTGACCGATATGTTGCTATTACACCCTGCATATATTCCTGCGCTTCTGTTGATTTTCACGTGAGGTGTCTTTTTTCAACGAGTTTTTTCCACAATCGAAGATACTTCGCCTAACAATACGCTGCGAACTAACACGGCGTAACATTGGAAAATAAATATGATGTGCGCGCGTTATTTGTACGCGACAAGGGTATTCGTTAACAAACGACGACGAGGGACGTGCGAGTCTTCCCGACGGTTCGTGAAGATTGAAAATTCCCGACGGGTGTGCCGATAAACATCGTCTTCCGCGTAAGTCTCTCGGAGAAAGGGCGGTCGCGGCTGTGTAATAGCCCGGCGTCTCGGTGCAATCAGATTCTACAGAGATATCCTGCCAGCAGGTATTCCAGAAAGCGGGGAACAAGCGCGAACTTATTGTTAGTTACCGGGCGGAATCGGGAGAGACGAGACATGTCGAACAATTTAGCTGCGACTACAAAGCCACGCTGCAGACGTCGGTGACTCTAGTCGAACTGCAGGTAAGCAGCGGCGGCAGCGCGGCGGTAGGAAAGAACATGTGCAACGGAGAAAGCGGAAGACAATAGACTCCAACTATCGAAAACGATTCGACTGATCGGCGGGATATCCTTCGCGCGCGTTTGCTTCGCCGTTAAACGCGCGCTTCTTCATTCTTTCGTCCCGAATGCTGCACATGAGGTAAACGTACCGAGTTACGCCACTGACCCGAATTATGCCACCTTAGCTCGTTCTATGTGTGTAATAAAACATAACTGAGTAAAAGTGTCTAAAAATTGCCGGAAAGAAGTCGTGTGATAGTGTGTCAAATGATCTCTCCGCTGAAATAACTACTAGGAAAATATAATATAATTTCCCGTGGAAATCAATCAAAAGTCTATATCAAAGATCTGTCATTTTTTACTATTTTCGACCGAATTTCCTTCTAAATGATTACTAACCTACGAAGTGACATTGTACCTTATAATATGATAAAATGAGATATTTTTGAGTAGTGATATAAAGTGTTCTAGTTTCGTACGATTGAAATATAATGAAAGATGATAAAAAGGTATAATACTATAAAGTTATATGGTTTTTATACAATATAATGTAATATAGAGTGGCGTCATTTGGTATATAATCAATGGCGTAAATTGAGACCTACAATTTCAGTGGGCGTAATTCGGGACATTCGCAATTCACACTTACTTCTTCTATATAAATCAATAATCTTGTTTATTTCTAATTTGTATGCGTGTTTTCGCTAATTTACAAAATAATAACTTTTAATAAGATTAATAGTCTTACCTCCCTCTCTCTCTCTCTCTCTCTCTCTCTCTCTCTAACATCACTTTAGTTTTTTAAAAATAAACTCTCAAAAATTAGTTTTTGCTTATCGTAATTCAGCGTAATTCAGTACGTTTACCTTAGATAAACAGAAAAATATTCTGCAGTAACTGGTAGAAATTTTCTATTACATGAAGTCCGGTTGCGGTAACAGAAAAGGGTCAAATTGACACTAACGACCGGTGAGGGTTAACACGACTTGAAGCGTTTGAAGGCGCATAATCCAAGACGCACTACTACTTAAGACAGTAGCCTCAACACGCTATATAATTAAATTGTTTTATATATAAGTGAGTCGCAAACATTTACAAACTTGACATTTTATACAATCGTACACATCTGTTTCTAGATAGCAACGTAAAGGGATTACACTGACGGAAAAGAGGTAGTTTATGTCACTGAAATTATAGTCATTTTCGACATCAATTACAACTCCCTGTTGCTCTAGTAAAAAAAAATAATAGCAACAATATGTATAAAGTTATCAGCACAATATTGCTGTGGTATTTATTATACTCACAAAAATATTCTGCAGTAACAAGTAAATATTTTCTGTTACATAAGATTCGGTAGCGGTGACAGAAAATTCTCTTTCGCAAATGGAAGAACCGTCCGCATCAGCGATTGCCTTCGATTGAAGGAACTCAAATTTTCCGTCTCGAAAATATAGTTACCGCGGCAGAGTACTCGGCTACTCTCGCAGAAAGCGTGGAATTGTATCGTATGTGTAAAGAGAAACGAAATCTCAGCTATCAAGAGCGATAAGATTCGCTTGAATAAGCTGAATGACGCTGTCAACGAAGTGATTATTTAAATATACACATTTAACAAAATTGTCGATTTCCGATACTTGATAACAGACGAAACACCATAGTTTCGGAAAAATAACTCAAGCGAAGGCGCACATATGCGGGAGAGAGACACTCGCAAAAGTACAATATACATAATTAAAACCCTGCGTTAGCAGAATTGATTTAACGCACAATTAATTCGATTTTTTCGCAATATTTCTTTTCCTTGACCGCGCACTTCACCGATGCTTCTTCCGTGTGCGTGACAATTAATCCGATTAATTCGTTCATCACCATAAGTCGCTTTAACAATTGGCACGCAGGAAAATATTTTGTAAAGACAACTAAAAATTTTCTGATACATGAGATTTGGTTGCGGTAACGGAAAATTTTTTTTCACAAACCGAGAAACCGTCCACATCAACAACTGCTTTCGATTGGAGGAATCGAAATTTTCGGTCTCGAAAATATAGTTACCGCGGCAGAATATTCGGTTATTTACGCAAAAGGCGCAGAAATGTATCGTGTAAAGGGAAGCGAAATCTCAGTTATCGCGAGCGAAAAAATTCGTTTGAAGAAGCTGAATGACGCTACCAAAAATGCGATTTTCAACCCAGCCGCGCAAATGTTTTCCCTCTCCACTTACGTACACGGAGATGCTTCGTTTATTGAACAACGAAACTTTTACTCTTGACAATATCAACGTTCGGTTCAGGTGAGGCGAATATATTTCTGTGACAACAGAAACGTGCCAACGGAATTTCTCTTGTGTTGCAACCGAATTTTCGGTTGATTCCTGGAGAACGGAAACTTCCAGTATTGTCGTAATTGAAATTCAGTTTTATCGGCCGAATAGTTTCCTGCATGTACCATAAATATTTGAAATTACCGGATGCACGTACCAGCCGGATTTTTGCCGGCCTACACATGTGTACCAACAGCTCCGTTGATGAACACATTTTTATTTCATCACTGAAATGAAAAGCAAAATTTTCGCTTAAACACGGTTGAGGAAAACCGTGTTTGAAAGACGTTTCTAAAGAAACTAAATTTATATTCTGCGACGAAACTGGTCAAGACACGCTTGACTTGGTGTTTCTGCACACAAGAAGACGTCGTCCGTATCCGCCGAGCGTATCTTTCAGCGAGCCATACCTATATCCGATCCATATCCGACCGTATCTATATCCGATCCCGACTTGAGATCCTTCCGTGAATAGATCCTCACTGCCGCTGACGTGCTTGTCGCGGACGTTCTGTACAGTAAACCCATCTACCAAGCTACCCAGCTAGCTACCTAGCCACCTACCTATCTACGAGCGACTGCTCATGAAAATGCATAATCCTAAAGGACACTCTCGTAACGTTCACGAACACGGATCACGAAGTTCCGACCTAAAAAGTTTCGCCGCAAGTTCGCCCGAACTATCGACGAGGCGCGGGCCGAGACGGGCGGGATTTTTCCACTTATTCCGAGGCGCGTTGACGAAAGGAGGACTTTTGACAAATTAAGCTGGAGATGTGTGTATACACATTTCACGTGTCCGTGTCGAAAGTTTGCCGTCGCCGTCGCGAGTGGAGTGAAAGCCTCCTCTTCGGGACAAGAGGAGGAAGGAGGAAAAAAGAGAAGAGGGATCGAGGATTAACGAAACGAACGCGAGACGATATGGCGCGACCACAATGAAGCTCGACGAAAGTCGCGAATAGGAATTAGCGCTGCGAGAGCGTGTGGCACACTCACACGCGGCTCACACATTCAATCTGTGTGGTCATTAGCGGCATATCGTGCTGGCCGAAAATAAAAGTGGCGAGGCATGCAACTGCTCCCGATAGCATTTCCATCCCTGTCCGACACGATGTCTGCACCGGGATCGATACATAGCTACGACGACGACGACGGCGAGGACGACGGCGAGGTGGGTGGGGGTGGAGGAGGAAGTGGAAGAAGGTCGTACGTTCTTTCAGGGTGAAGTTTTCCCCACCGACGCGGACAACTTTTGTGTACCATATACATGACCTCGAATTTCCGCGCGCCGCTGTGCGCTCTTATAGTTCAGCTCGATATCGAGCTGTAGTTTTTCTTCGATTCGCCAACTAAGGACGCGCCGCGCTCGATCGGAGCGTTTCAGAGAATCGCTGCGATATCGATTGTCGAGATATAATTATGCGCGACGTACAGAAGTACGTTTTTTCCTGCTGCTCTTGTCCTAAAGGGGGAAGGAGGTTGTGGACAAAAATTCGCGCAGGAAAAAATCATGACGCTGAGCTCCCTCGAAATTTCAGTCAAGGACACCCGTCATGACACGGTTACAGGGCGGATGAAGGACGTTTGTTGACTCACCTTGAGATGTTATGTCGCTGCCGAGATCAGGCTGAGGGTCAAGTTGATTTAGGGTTAGGGTTAACCCCGCTAGTTTAGCGCTCGGTCAGGTCGTAGGTCACGTTAAGTAGGTTGTAGGTTAGGTTTGTCAGAGATAGCCTGACACATTCTCTCTTGGGGGATTCCTTTTTCATTAGAAAAAAAAACACTCTTAATTTTTTTTTATATTGAATGTGAAATATGCATATGCCACATATTTCTATATATAATCTATATAATCCATAAAAATTCGTAGAAATTTTTCCAAAATCTATAGAAATTCCAAAATCCATAGAAATTTTTCATCTTTTTACAGAACGCAAAAAATTGGAAAATTCTTGCGGTGATAAATCATGCTTTTTTGTTTATCTTAAAAAATATATCGCCTTCGCATTTTGTCGACAAGTTCTATTTGACATTTAGTGACATGGTAGGCTGATGGTTTGGTTGAATTTTATGAAAATAATTCAGCGGAGTGGCCTTTTTCCAGGATGAATCACGCGGCACCTCAGTTGGATTCGTGTCGTTCGAATTGTCGCGATGTAAAACTGCGGTTTTGTCGATTTAACTGATGCGCTGATCGGTAGATAATTTATGTGCAAATGGCGCAGGACCGCGTTATCAAGGCGTTACCGCGAAACGTTCTCCAATAATTGCGAGTCGGCTAATCGAACAGTGTGACACCATAAAAGCGGTTTATCCCGCATCGTGTCGCGCTTCCGCTCTCTCGCTCTTTCGCCGTCGACGTTTAAAGTCGCGCGAGATTTATACTTCTCACCCCGAGAAGATACAACAGGGCGATAAATTTCAAGCGGCGCGATACCTAATCCGACGAGATGAAGAACTATTACCGGCCAGCCCCGGACATAAAAGCCGAAAGAAACGAGTACAAATAATGCCGGCCGAGAGTTACATGTATATGTATCGAACTCCAATTTAAATGATAATTTTCGAAAGCCAGGACTTTGTCTGCTTCACCTTGCCGCGGCTGTCCCGCGGCCGCCATTTCGATGATAATACCCTT